AAACACCGAAAATTAATTTCAAGCAAAAATAAAGTATTTCACAGTACTCACCTATTTACCAAACCTTGTCAACTGAAGAATTGTTTATCAATATTTTATCAAGTGTAGATAAATATGTTTGTAGTATTTTAGCTAATTTTGTATTTCAGATTTTAAAATTATTTTAGATTAGTTGTGTTATTCCAGGTTTAGGTTATATTGGACTTTACCCAAGCATTGCTTTTTTGTACGTTCCGAATAAAATATCCTAACCTTACCTAACCTAACCTAGCCTGCTCGGTACTGAGCATGCTCAGTCCGCTGGCTTTCACGCAACACTACCGGGGTTGTTTGTGGATATATCTGTTGCCGGCGTTTTCTTCATTTTTCGCATGGTAAGAGGTCAAATAGTAGTATAATTTATATTGATTGTTCTCTAATATTAATATATATGAGCCAGACAATGATTATTCAAGCATATCAATCAGAAAGATGGTGTCTACGTGAGGCAGAGACCGGCCATTTTGAACTTGCAGACAAACTTGATTTTGTTTTCTCCCCTTGTTGGTGTATTTGATTAAAGTTATTTTTGTAACATTTCTTTCTTTATTTATGTTTCAGAATAACGTTGTTATTAAATTAAATAACGTTTTTGAAAAATGCTATTAAAGTTGTGACATTGAAAACTGCAATTTAAGCGTTTATGGCAAACGTCACTATGACGTACCCAGTGAGGATACTTAAATGCTATTTAAAAATAACAGTAATATAACGTTATAAAAATTACGATATAACAACGTTTAAAAAAACGTTTGTATGATATTTTTGCAAACGTAATTATAGCATAATTATTTACTTTATACGTGCATCATTTAATAATGCTATAAATTTGGACTAATTTTTTGAGTTATAATAACGTGTTTTAAAAACAATCAGCGATGTTATAAAGCTTGAACAATACATAATGTACAAAATGTTATACCAAAAAATAAATTTTAATTAGAAATTGAAACAAAATGACTTAAACATTATTTTATATAAAAAGAAAAAAACAAAACAAAAAGCCACATTTAATACAAAACTGTTATGATCTCAGTCTCAATCTGAAAAATAAAGAAATGCTATAACGAAAATTGGAAGCTTTTCACATTCTTTATCCTTTTTCGTGTTTCTTCAAACGTTCCATTCTGCCATGTGAGGGCGCTGCAAATTCGGAGTTCGCGGACGGTTGGTTGTGTCGTCACAGGAAGCACAATTCAAACTTTTGAACATTTGACAAATTTTGCACAGAACAGAATATAAATCGGATGCCAACGGCGCTAGAACATTATTTGAAAAATGAAAAATATGTCATGAACAATCGGCTTTGATAGTCTAACCAAAGTTACAAACGATGCCGCACTACAATGATGAATTGTACGAGGATGCCAGAGTCGCGATATTTCATTATTTGATTGGAGGAAATGTACCTTAAGCAAAACGATACTATTCGCCCCGAATAGATTGTATATGCAAAGACAAGTTGCATTAAAACAGTTTTAATATAAAACCGTAATGCATATTACTGGGATAAATTCAAAAACAAGATTACAAACATTGTTACGCCGGACTGTGGTGATGTAACTTCTTGCTTGTTAGCTATGAGAAATAATCTGAAACTGATTTGACAGGTAAAATAATAACCGAATAAATTCGAAAATTATAATATATTTTATTGTGAGTTACTTCTTGACAAAGTATTTGATTTTGAGCATTCATTGCGGAAAGTTTTAGATATGTTAAATACGTTCTGGAAGGAAGTGTGCCCGCTAACGGTAGAAAAGAAATAAACCTTCTTCTTTATCAAGAACTCTGAAACCGTCAACTGAGAAAGACTGATATGAAAATATATCACGTCCACAACGAATGTGTAAAAAAATGGAAACATTAAGTTGTAGATGAAATGTCCATATTTCTGAAATACAAGATTGAAAGTAACAGAATCAATGACACATATCAACCCTCAATTGTAGACTTTTGATGAGATTTACTTACCTGAGACGTTTTGAAAGATATTTAATGTTAACAATCAATAATGGTGCGACATTTTCTTGGCATGTGACCCACCTCAGTAAATACATAGTGCTGACCGCTCATACAAAATTAAGAGCTTGCTGATTGATAATTTGCATATTAGTTTCTCATTTTCTCATTTCAAAATCATATGAGTGGATTTTGATCACATTTGGTACTTGGCTATTTTGAGGTAATATGATAAATTGATTAGTTTTCGGAGTCAAGTTAATTAATTATTATGGTGATCTCCTATAACCCCGTGAGAGCAAATGCTCAAACACTGCAGAGCGGAATCTGATCAAATTCGAAACCAATTCACCTTCGATATAATGTACAGGCAAGACTAGTTTTAGGGCCATATCTGTACCGCCTCTTTGATTTTCAGATACTGTGTTATAAAATACCAATGATTCACATTAGAGCTTAACTCTGATTGGTATTGTCCTTCCTTATTCTCAAAACTTACACTTTGTACGTTTAATGCAACGATAATCTCATTTTTGTTTACGCAATCAGAGATTTCCAAGCACCCACTGATGCCAGTGGCGGATCTAGAGGGAGGGGGGTTTCTTGGGGTCCGCCCCCCGTTGAAAAATGTGTTCAATTTGTTTATGTATAATATAAAAAAATCATTTAACTTTGTCTGGCGATTTTAAGGTTTGGAGCTCTCCTTAAAAAAATCATGTATCCGACCCTGGATGCTTTTGTGACACTATTAGTTAAAACTGCGTTCGAGTGATGTGCACGATATGGCTTCGCTTTCCAACGTCCACAAAACACGTGAATTAACTTCTCGTGAGATCTTTATCGTATATCACCGTACATAAGAACTGCATACCATTATCTTATACATTCTTGTTATAATTCATTCATTCTAGCACATTTCAATTGTCGGTTCTAACTAAGTTGGAAAGTAATGTTTGGTTTTATAAAATAACCATGCAATGTCATCTCAGTTTACAATTTGTTTTATCCATCATTCATGCCCCTTAGGATTTCAATTGTCAATACATAACTGCATTAAGCGCAAGTTACAAGTGCATCCCATAGTCCTTTATACCTTCATTATTTCTCTGCCAACAGTCTTTTTAGAACCTCTCCAATATCAACCTCACCCCACCTCAAGTTAACCTAACAGCAGGGAATCTCCGTCCTGCAAAGATGTGACCGATGCGTGCGTCCTTTCCGATGTTCATGGGCAACTTTACCACATTATCCATTCTTCAATTCTCTCGACTGAAACTCACACAATAACTTAAAACTACGTGCCAAAGAAGGGTGACCATGGCTATAATATTGATGGTAACACATTTGTACAATTGCTGTGAACACTGGCGTTGTTCTGGGAGATATTTGACTCGTTTTGCTGATAACACGTACATCACGGTTACTAAAAAAAATATTTTTTTAGTAACCGTGCGTACACGTAGAGATATCAGATTCGACCAAAAGAAATACACAGTAGTTCATTACAGATAGTCCATCTTTATTCATCAAACCAATCAGCTGAGGTAACGCCTTGCTGTTCACTTCTCTCTCTTCTATTACAAAGTCTTACAAACTTACGACGACTGCCGCCTTTTAATAAATTTGCCTTAAATATGTTGTTTATTATTTTTTTTATTAGTTAAGTTCCCGAACACAACACAGTGTTCACAGCACATGATAAAGCATCTTCCGAATGTTGTTCAATGATAAGACAATCGTTTCCTGGCAGCCGACTGAAAAAAGTTTAGCTTTGAATAGTGCCTCTTTCCATTTTGTGTGTGGAGCCATCTTGAATTCCGCTCAACCCACGCGTGAACTAATAACTCAACTCCCGCGTTTTTACGTTCTGTGGTTGAGTCACTTCTATTTTTAGTAAAATCGATGAACTACTCGGCTGCGATCACTCGCCAGGCATTGTCTGCTACATATTATGGCTTAAATTCAATGCATGAACATTTAATTATAATAACTTGGAAGCTACCATCTTTTAATATTTATAAAAAAATATATCTTAACATGAAAATACCACAAGTGGATTTGGCAACTCCTAAATCTAGCCATATTCACTAAGATCACCATTTATCATACCCGGATGCCAAGATATGGTCAACATAGATTGCGGCAGCCATCTTGAATATTTAAATGTCCTCATGTTGAAGATTCTCAATCAATAAGTATGTGAAATACAAAATCTATGATAAAACAGATAAATCATAATGTTGGTATGCTTCTGTACTCTATAATATATGCAGCAATATCATCATTGAGATCTTGTACATTCCTAAGCCGTCCAAGATGGCCACCATCATTTCTAATTAAGGACCTGACACATAATGTTCAACTCAACTATATAAAATTAGGTAGGGCATAGAATTACACTTGTAAAATCTGATAAAAAACAATAGCGGCCAATTTGAATTTATGAATAGTAACATAACATTCTGAAATCTACTTGTAATTTTATTATTATTACTGACAATTCATTTTGAACTCATGCAAATTACACAAATCCCCAAGGGTGCCGAGTTTGCACCCATTTGAATATCCAATTGGATGTAGCGATCAATACATTTCAGCAAACAAACTTATGCCATATACATGTATACACTTTTCTGCATTGTAACCTTACAGATACATGGTGACTATACTTTGCATTGATCTACTACATTCTTGCCGTTGTTCGAATGAGGCAATTTAAAACACTATATGTAATTTATTATAAATTATATATATATAATTTATACAACACAGAAATCTCCCCGACCTTCATTAGTGCTTGAAGTGATATATTTTAATTCAACGTTCATTTGGCCTTGTCACGATATAGGCACTTTTTACCAAAACAACTTCTTTCTATATCACTTCAATAAAGACTTCGAATATAAATGGCCTGTAAGCACATGTCATAGTAATTAGTGCATAACGTATGGTGAACTTTGTACTCAATTGATCATGCACAAGAAACACGACCCTACTTTATTAGAACTGCATACAGCCTTCCTCAGATGTATTGACGCTTACGTCACAGTGAAGAATGGCAGCCACTAACAGATACGCGATCTTTTGGTCTCTGATTTGTTTACATATTGCAGGTAAGACACAACACATTTCATATCTTGATGTCTTTATTGAACATTTTTTTAAATTATGAACACATTTACTCTACAGACTCTACCGATTTGATAGAATGGTAGAATTGATCCGATACGTAGTTACTAACCACAACAAAAAGCACACAAAGCGTGGAATAGGTAACTGTAGAGCGGTTGTGCTGGTGTTTTTTTTACATTAAACAACTTTCTATGTATGAAACATGCCACCAGCGCTTGCTATTTTATATAGTAATGACAGTAACATAACTGAAAAATAACCCTGTCGCCCGAGATCTTGTTCTACATGAACGCTGGCAGCCAAACTGTCACGTAACTTTGGGTTTATATATGTAGGTGTTAATGACATCACATACTCAAGCCTGGTTTAGATGACGTTGTAGTATTAATGAAAATCAACAACTTGTATGTTTAAGATAGAACTTTTAAACACATATTACAGAAATACATTGTTCCATTCTACTTCCAGGTAGGTAAAAGACTTCAGTAGTGTCTATTGCGCAATGTCTTAACCTTGAGACACTTCCCTGGTAATTATGGCTGCAGCGATTGGCTGATCGCATGTTTACTCTTGTAAGAGAAGGGGACAGCGATGCGTTACCTCAGATGACCGTTTGGTTGAATAAAGTTGGACTATAGGGCAAGGATTACTAATTTTGTCTACTATAATCAACACAAAACACCCAATCTTTGTGGGTGCCGTCCATTTCGCTTTGATGCAACACGTAACTAACTTAAATTTCTTAGTTACCTATTAGTTGTCTGGGAATCACAGAAAATGTCACGTGTTTACCTTAAGGTGCAATACAGCCACTGTGCCTTACAAAATAGAGAATCTATTGTTTGACACAATTGCATAGTAGTTGTGTATGATATGTATGGTAATCTAATAGCCATCCAATCTGGCGGATAGCCAAAACTGATACAAAGAAACCGATATCAAGGTAGAGTAACAGCGCAGATAAAATGAGCTGGCATTTGGAATCAAAATATTCCATGACGAAAAGCAACAAAAAAAATATTTGTGTCACTATGAATATATGAGTATGTTCTTTATAATACAAAAAAAACGTTGGTTGTTATTAGTAGCGGCTCCTTCATATTTCACCATTTAAATTTAAATTGTAATAAAGTTGTTATATCACCATTTTCACTCTAATTTCGTCTCTTAGTTGCTAAATTTCAACATTTACATTTGAATGGGTCTGAAATTGGTGAAGTCAACCTGTCAACTTTCAAAATTGTGAGACAGCTATTGTTGGCAGCAAACAATAAACACGCGTGAATCACAATACACGCATGATCTATGTGAAATGGTGATAGCCTGTACAAATAAAGTATTATTATTCAATAAATGATCAAAAAATACTTCATACATATTACAACAAATAATTACTGATTAAATACTATATTATGTACTGCATGTTCATCAGCAGTGAATGTGTTCATCTTTTCTATGTGTATCGAGTGGTACATGTGTGGAATATATTATGTACTTCCGGTTCATCAACAGTGGATGTGTTCATCTTTTCTTGGTGTATCGAGTGGTTCATGTGAGGATTAAATTATGTACTGCATGTTCATCAACAGTGAATGTGTTCATCTTTTCTTGGTGCATCGAGTGGTTCATGTGAGGATTATATTATGTACTTCCGGTTCATTAACAGTAGATTTGCTCATCTTTTCTTGGTGTATCGAGTGGTACCTGCGATGATTATATTATGTACTGCATGTTCATCAACAGTGAATGTGTTCATCTTTTCTATGTGTATTGAGTGGTACATGTGTGGAATATATTATGTACTTCCGGTTCATCAACAGTGGATGTGTTCATCTTTTCTTGGTGTATCGAGTGTTTCATGTGAGAATAAAATTATGTACTCCTTGTTCATCAGCAGTGAATGTGTTCATCTTTTCTAGGTGTATTGAGTGGTACATGTGAGGAAAATAGTATGTACTGCATGTTCAATAACAGTGAATTTATTCATCTTTTTTAGGTGTATCCGGTGGTACATGTGCGGGCTATTCCGATTACAGTTCATATCATGAAGCATTTGAATGCCCAAGCTCGACTGACGCAGAGGACATGACCTACTGCTGTGGAAGTCATACGTACAGATATTGCTGTTCTCAAGCAGACTATGATTTCGATAATGATTTTGACAACGTTGTCGAATCAGCAATTGGACTTGCGTATGTATAAATAATTTTACGTCTTGTGGGATGTATGAACTTGTACGTTTTGCTGAATCTATTAATTGATTGATTTACATGATTTACACCAGAAGCTTTCCATGCACATATTTTGTTCTGCCATGATATCCATTATTCATGGGACTTTATACTAGCCCGGTGAAATAACTAACAAATAATTATTTTACAGTGAAGGTGTCTTAATTGCGATTATAATTGGTAGCATTGTCACCGTGATTGTTATAATAGTATCTATAGTGGCATGTGTGTATTGCTGCATCAAGGGAGCAACCAGTGAGGATACAACTACCATAATACGTCGTAAGTAATGTTAGTACGTCGTAGATTTATAAGGTTGGTAAACTTAACTAAACTGGAATGATGTTATTGTTTTGTTTCTGTTTGTTCCTTTTTCAGAAGAAGCCCCAGCACCGGCATACAACATCGTGCCTCCACCAAACTATCCACAGTCATCTTATGCCGTCTAATCTACGCCAGTGTTCTAAATTTAAACATTTAAACACGGCTAACTATGTATGAATTGCAACATGTTTACATTACATTTTCATCTCTTTAACAAGTAATATCCAGCATTATATAATATTGGATTTAGAAGGCTGTTTTGTGTGAACAAATACAAATTCATATTTACCCAAGAATTGATAAATGTACTATTTGTTTAAATTACTGGGATAACACAATCACTTTTTGTTTAAATTACTGGGATAACACAGTCATTTTTTGTTTAAATTACTGGATAACACATTCGTATTTTGTTTAAATTACCGGGATAACCATGTGATGTTATTACTTATTGTACTTTTCAGTGACCTTATTGGTGTACTTGCAAATTCAGTGTTGTGTCAATAAATAAATGTATAATGTAAATGTGCGATGACTGGTGACTCTGTAGACCATTGGTCGTGTTCAGAGCATAGGCATAGCCTTTGAAAACTGCTTAAAATCTTGACCAATCTATTGAAGTGTTACTAGCTTGAGAGACACTACATGTCAAAACAAGTTCGTCAACCCCCCCCCCCCCCCAAATAAATAAACAAGGGACTGTAGGATACGTTGACTGCAATATGCATGGGACTACAACACTAAAACACACTTGGTGACATTTAAATAATTTAAACTATATATCACAAATACACCACAACAAATAAATTCGCCTAACATAGGTCAGTCAGTTCCTGAATTACATTCCAAATCCATTTACATGAAAAACAAACGGAAAATTCCTAACATATTTTAAGTACAATGACCCCTCTCTATAAGTCGCGTCTCAGTAAGTCGCGCGGAGTTGGATGGCTCCCAAAAATTCTATTTTGTTTTTCCGTCTGTTTTGAAGTAAAAAACCTAATGTATTGTTGCATATTGTATTTAATTGGCTGTTAAAAAGCTGGAGAGGACAACTTAATACCGGCCTGATGGCGGCCTGTCGGCGGCCTGTCACCATTCGGTATAGCTTTTAAAATTCGCTACAATGAGTTGAATCTGTCACTCAACTTCAGTTCAGTTCTCAACTGAGCAGCATGTCTAAGCGAAAGCTATCCAGTCTGTCCGTGTACACGTAAACAAACTCACAGCGAACGTGTCTGAGGTGAAACCAAGTTGCACACAATAGAACTGCACAAAGATTGTTGTGTAATGCAAGGGACTGTGAAGAATGTAAATGTATTGTAGTGTTACCTCTGTGTAATTTACAATATATCTGTATTTACCTTCACTGTGAAGGACAATATGGGAGTTGACTTAAATGACTGTTATAAGCAAGCTGGGAACATTTTGCGAAATAGTAGTTAGTTAGAATTACCAGACATTGTGGGATAATGGAATATGGATGATAAACAGCAAGTGGTATTTCCAGAGATATAGTTGGAATTGAAGCAAAGGAGTGGAATATTAACCCATGAAACATACTCGCACATATCTGTACATATCAAAATCTTAATAACTGGAAATGGTTTATTACTAGAAATAATTATGAACAATAAAAATTGAAATTTAGAAAAACTATGAACAATAAATAATGAAAATCTGTGATTTGCTTTACAGCTTTCAGAAAATTATCAACCGAATCATAACATTTATAAAAAGCACAGTGCTGAGACTCACTTTGAGTATACTTGAAATATAATCTTACAATCGCATACGAGTCGTCAAAACGTACAGTTTGGTGACATATAAGTCAAATGTTGTACAATGCGCATACAAGAACCCGTATATATTTTGACAATAAACCCCTCTTTCACATTGTTGGGATTCCATGTATCTCTTATGGATTGTACGTCTCTCTTATGGATTGCAAGTCTCCCTTATGGATTGTATGTCTCTCTTATGGATTGTACATCTTTCATGGATTCCATGTTTCTCATATGGATTGTATGTCTCTCTTATAGTTTGTATGTCTCTTTTATGGATTGTATGTCTCTTTCATGGATTCCATGTCTCTCATATGGATTGTATGTCTTTCTTATCGATCGTATGTCTCTCTTGTGCAATGTATGTCTCTCTTATGAATTGTACATCTTTCATGGATTCCATGTCTCTCTTATGGATTGTATGTCTCCCTTATGGATTGTATGTCTCCCTTATGAATTGTAAGCCTCTCTTGTGGATTGTATGTCTCTCTTATGGATTGTATGTCTCCCTTATGGATTGTATGTCTCCCTTATGAATTATAAGCCTCTCTTATGGATTATATGTTTCTCTTATGGATTGTATGTCTCCCTTATGGGTTGTATGTCTCTCTTATGGATTGTACGTCTTTCATGGATTCCATGTCTCTCATATGGATTGTATGTCTCTTTTATGGATTGTATGTCTATTGCCTTCTACAGTGTTATATTACCTATTCAACCAGTTTCTAAAAAAAATCTAGAATATTCCACCCAGACACAGTACGGTTCTAGAACATTCCCAGTGACACGGAAGTGGTAAACAAGTCGTATGCGACAGGATTCTATGTCTCTTTTATGGATTGTATGTCTCTTTTATGGATTGTATGTCTCTCTTGTGGATTCTATATCTCTTTCATGGATTCCATGTCTCTCTTATGGATTCTATGTCTCTCTTATAGATTCTATGTCTCTCTTATGTATTCTATGTCTCTCTTATGAATTATATGTCTCTCCTACGGATTATATGTCTTTCTTACGGATTCTATGTCTTTCTTATGGATTGTATGTCTCTCGTATGGATTCTATGTCTCTATTATGGATTCTATGTCTCTCTTATGGACTGTATGTCTCCCTTATGGATTACATGTCTCCCTTATGGATTGTATGTCTCTCTTATGGATTGTATCTCTTTCTTATGAATTGTATGTTTCTCTTATGAATTGTATGTCTCTCTTATGCATTCTATGTCTCTTTTATGGATTCTATGTCTCTCTTATGGATTCTATGTCTCTCTTATAGATTCTATGTCCCTCTTATGGATTCTATGTCTCTCTTATGAATTATATGTCTCTCTTACGGATTGTATGTCTTTCTTATGGATTATATGTCTCTGTTATGCATTATATGTCTCTCTTACGGATTGTATGTCTTTCTTATTGATTGTATGTCTCTCTTATGGATTGCATGTCTCTCTTATGAATTCTATGTGTCTCTTATGGATTCTATGTCTCTCTTATGGATTCTATGTCTCTCTTATGGATTCTATGTCTCTCATATAGATTGTATGTCTCTCTTATGGATTCTATGTCTCTCATATAGATTGTATGTCTCTCTTATGGATTGTATGTCTCTCTTATGGATTCTATGTCTCTCCTATAGATTGTATGTCTCTCTTATGGATTGTAAGTCTCTCTTATGCAATGTATGGCATCTTATGGATTGTATGTCTCTCCTATAGATTGTATCCCTTTCTTATGGATTGTATGTCTCTCTTATGGATTGTAAGTCTCTCTTATGGATTCCATGTCTCTTTTATGGATTGTATGTCTCTCTTATGGATTGTATGTAATAATTAAAGGACAGAAAAATATAATTAATAAAGTCACTAAGATAGGGGATTGCTGTTTCAGAATGTAATAATGGGAGACAGTCAATGGCTTTATTATTCAAATAACAGTACACCTGGTAGATTCCTACTTCCCTTCCAAAGTTGTAAACACACTTTTTTACGTAAATCACTAGCACACCTGATAGATTCTAACTGTCCTTCCAGAGTTGAAAACAAGTATAACCTGTCAATCACCTTTATGACAGTTATCACAATGCGCACAGTTTTTTCCATGATTCCATGCACACTTCCATTTGCAGGGTTTGAGGTAATATGACAAAAACATAAAATAAAGGATGCTGACAGTCTCGCTTATTGATTGCATGTCTCACTTATGGATTGTATGTCTCTTTTATGGATTCTATGTCTTTCCTATTGATTGTGTGTCCCTCTTATGGATTGTAAGTCTCTCTTGTGGATTCCATGTCTCTTTTATGGATTGTATGTCTCTCTTATGGATTGTATGTAATAATTAAAGGACAGAAAAATATAATTAATAAAGTCACTAAAATAGGAGATTGCTTAGGGGAGAATGCATTGGTGATAACCCTCTGTTTCAGAATGTAATAATGGAAGACAGTCAATGGCTTTATTATTCAAATAACAGTACACCTGGTAGATTCCTACTTCCCTTCCAAAGTTGTAAACACACTTTTTTACGAAAATCACTAGCACACCTGGTAGATTCTAACTGTCCTTCCAGAGTTGAAAACAAGTATAACCTGTCAATCACCTTTATGACAGTTATCACAATGCGCGCAGTTTTTTTCCATGATTCCATGCACACTTCCGTTTGCAGGGTTTGAGGTAATATAACAAAAAACATAAAATAAAGGATGCTGACAGTCTCGCTTATTGATTGCATGTCTCACTTATTGATTGTATGTCTCTCTTATGGATTGTATGTCTCTCTTACGGATCATCTATAAAATGTACAGAAAGTAAACAGGATTTAAAAATATTGCCGCATGCTGCACACAAATGTTGTAATTTTGTGGTATTTTACGGGGTATTTTCATCCTACCATATTAGGAAATGCGAATGCCAAATATGGATTGATTATGCGCGTAAGCGTCCTCTAATAATGAAAACAAACATGACTGTAACCAGAGTTTGACTGGACTCCACACAAAGAAGCTCGCTGATTCTGTTCTAAACATTTTGAAATTCGGCATGCCCATGTATCTTTGTAAGGAAAGGATGTATAATAATAAGGTTATTACGAGATTACCTCAAAGTATGCACTGTGTTCGTGCATACTTTGAGGTATTCTCGTAATAATCTTATAATATTACGAGACTTTATAATAAATGTTTAGTTATTCTCAACGGACCAATTAAAAGTCACAAGCATTTATTTCACGCTCTTGATTGTGAATCAAAAGTGATACCAAGTACGAGTATGCCCTCTGGTGTTGAAAATCGGCCATGCGCAGGTAACTCAAGCAATAACAGCCAAAAAGATAATAAAACTGGCAAGTAACATCTATAACAGTTTCAGTGCAAGAGAAAATCATTTCAATAAAACTTCCAGCTGCCCCTGTTTTCAGTTCTTCATCTTTATTGTAATTTTTATTTTTCTGAGTCAATATCCAAATATCCAGGATACGATTATGCAATTATTATTATTTTTATTCTTCTTCTTCTTCTTAATCTTCTTCCTTGGGCCTTGCCATAATACAGCCACTTTCTATCAAAACAACTTTGGCCACTTCACTGTAAGCATACATAACAGTAATTTGTGCATGACTTATGGTGGACGTTGTAGACAATTAATCATGCCTAGAGAACTCTGCCCTACTTTTATGAGAACTTCTTACAGCCGTCCTCCGATGTATTGAATCATATGTCGCGGTGAATAATGGTAGCCACTAACAAA